GAAAATATTAAATTTCAATGGGCAAAAGCTTATTAACAAAGCTTACAATGGGCAAATCTCCAAATGAAATGGGCAATTGCCCATTTGCCCCTCCCTTCGCTACGCCACTGCACCGGTCTCATCGGTGCATCCCTAAAACGAAAAGTAACGAATAAAATGCAATAAAAAAAAAGAAGGAAGTTAGTCATGTAAAACAAAGACAACTTCATAGAATAGAAAGCAATAAAATCATTTTAATTCTGCGAGATAAATAAACCAAAAGAAATTTACTGTACAGCTGATTGACAAACCATCATCAATCGACCGATTGAATGGGAAATCGTCATAGTATTAGTTTCACTTTCGTCATGGTCCTTTACAACTAGTATTCCAATCATATAGTATCTGCGTTTATGATGTTTAAAATATTGTCTAATCTTAGAAATCTTTCTAATAAGTTACTCGTCAAAATCAAGTAATCAAAACCAACTATACCGACTCAAATTCAGTGCTGACTGATTGTTGGTTTGTTGAATGTTATGTATGTCAGACGAGTCTACTTTTTTCCAAATGCTTCGTTTATTTTTTTTCATAATAGCCATATTTTACACTTCGTTTCTGTCGTTTTTTTTTCTGTTTTTTTTCGTTCACATAATTCATTGGACAGAGCTGCACATAAAATTAGTAAGGCATCCAAGGTAAAGAGCACAGAATGACTGATCATAAACAAGAAAAAATTCACATTTGCGCAAAGGAATCTCGTCTACAACAATCATAGGGAATGTTTTATAAGTCTTCAAATGAAAAAAAACATATACAAACACAGAATGAAGCTAACTGAATGTTAGAAGATTTTTCGAGTAATAGAGCAATAATATAATCTTGATGTAAGTATATATTTTTATTTTTGTTTCCTGAGAATTTTCGATCTTCAGATGATCATTTTCAATCTTATACCAGAACAAATATAAAAAGATGTTTCAAACAAAACAAAATCTCAATCTTGATATAAATTCTCCAACAACTTATTAAAAATTAAAATAGTAGCATTAAAAACTCAAGTATAACATTATAGGTTATGACGAACAACGATTATGATGTCTTCGTTTATGCTGTCTACATGCATATATTTTTCTGGTTTTTTTGTCTTGTTTGAAATATCTTTGTATACTTGTTCCGACATAAGATTGATGGTCGCTGGAAGATCGAAAACTCTAAGCAATAAAAATAAGACTAAACACTTACAACAAAATTATACTACTCCTGTATTACGCAAAAGATCTTGAAATTGAAACAAAATCTCAAGTTACATAGAAATTCTCCGATAAATTAATTGAATATTAGTATATGAAATTTACGTATTTGTGTCAATTCTTCAAATGACATATTATTGGCTGATATCTTCGCTTTTAGCAATTAACAAAAATATAAACAGGAGAATATGAGGATAAATTTTTCTCAATCAATCAACAAGAAATTTCGCTAAAACTATCCTTGGTTATGAACACATATATTAATCTAATTATATAGAAACCCCATTTAATTATCATGTATTTGTTGTCCATCACTTTTTATTAATTTGCCAAGTCTTTTAGAAATTGTGGCAACCATTTTCTCATAATCATACCAAGTTATTTTGTTTTTCATTCATTATTCAATATAGTTTTTATTTATTTAAAGATCAAATAACGTTCTTTTGATACTTTTTTTTTCTGTAATATGCTCCATACACTTTCAATAGACCTTACATTAACATATTAGTATCAGCTTCCTGAAGTAAAACTCCACGACTCTAAAGTTTATCAATAGTTCAAGATGTAATAATTGTTCTTTGTATCACATTCTGCACGCGATACTTTCATATATTTTATCGATTTTAATTTAGTTAGCGAGTACATGAATGACTTCGTTGAACAAGTTGCTATTGGATCATGATGAGCGCCGAGTAATAGAACAGAATAAATAACTATTGATTTCTACTACGCTGTTTTGTATAGAATTGTCCAGCATATTGTAACATAATCTATAACAAAAAAATCATATGGACCGATTGCAAGAAACTTATGCTCATATTCCCATGTTTATATTTTTCTTAATTATTACAAAAGAAGACATTATCCGACAAATGTCATGTGAAACATTGATATAAGTTCTTAAGGTTCATATAAAAACATTTGATTAGTTATTATTCTCTGTTTGCATATAAACTAATTTTCTGGCTCGTCAAGACTTATCCAACAATCTATACGAACACTTATTTTTATTTTTACATGATATGTAGGCATCGATATTGTTCAAAACTATACAATGCTTGGCAGACACAAACATTTTCGGGTACTTATGAAAGAATCTGATTATATAGTACTAGCAGACTATGATTGTTTATAACTGCTTTCAAATTTCTTTCATTCTTAGATAGGTGAGACTGACTTCGTTATGAACATCAGACAATTCTCCTGTAAGTTTATGAAAACTAGATAATTTTTGAACATAATTATTATTTTACGAATTGAATTTATATTTTATAAGATTTGACACATTCATCTTATTCTTCAATAAACAAGCTACAAAAAAAACTGTCCTTGAAATGTATTTGAATTTGTGATTCAAAAATTATTTCTGCCAAAAAAAGGCTTCTTAAAAGAAACGAGGTTTATTTACTAAGTGGTGCCTGTAAAAAAAGAAAAGACCAATTCTTCAAGATACTCCAATATGAATTTTAAGGTCGAAATTGAAAATATGCTACTCTGAATTCTAGTAACTATCATTAAGATCTGAGAAATGTACAAGATAAATCGAAAGATCCTTAATTGAAAAGATAATGAAAGGTTATCACAGGCATTCGAACTGCACGCCCATGAAATAAAAAATGATGACTTTCGTATGAAAAACATGAATGAAAATACCATTTTTGATGATGAAACGGGCAAAAAAAAATGATGTACTGTATTTTCATCGATTAAACGCAAAATTTTCATCAATATCATTTCCTGATTTCGATTTTTCATTTTATATATGAACAAAATAATATTTTTATATGCGACGTTGTATCATAAGCTGATTTCCAAAGACTCTATATTTCATAACGTCTTAAATTCATGGAGGAATAATATTCCAATTGTGCTTTATCACATTCAAAATTCGTGGGATTTTAATATGCATCACAACTTTCACGAGAAAAGTTTTGTACTATGAGTATATACATCAAAAATAACTACATGCAAAATAATTGTATATCAATGAAAAGGAAATATTAACTAGCACGTATACAAGAGAAACTTTGTGAAGCTCATCCATCGATGATTTCCGCTCGTATGAATGCTAAAGAAAGCCAAATGTGTTTAAATACAGCTGACAAATAGTAAAACGTCCCCATTACATTTTTTTAACATGCCCGTAGTCTCAATTTTTTATGAATAATGACACTTGTATAATGAGCATGAATCATGTATTTGTTATATTTTTCTTATATCGATGGATGAGGTAGATTCTATGTGTCGACAGCTATGTTGAAGGAAAGAATATTTTTTTTAATCAAAGAGCAATAAAAAAAAAGTCCTTTTAATGCATGCCTAATTTTTTTGAGCAAACACAAAAGTATATTCCACGATTAAAATATGCTGCATAACGTTTTTTGCACTACGATCTTGTTGAGCTTCCTCTAAAATTACAACAATAACAGACAAGAAAAATCAACAAAACCAAAAAAAAAACTACCTTAACAACAAAAACAAACTACAGAACCAAAAAGCAAATACCAAAGTCATTTTTATAATTGCTATACTACTGTCTTTTTCTCCCGTTCGTGTCTGTACACAGTGAGTGATAATGCAAAGGTAGATTGTGTAAACCAATGAGTGGGGAAGAAAATCAAGGCTGCATTTTTCTTTCTTTCTTTCAATGGGATTGAATCTCACCAAAGAAATTTTTCTCACTCACTGTCGTTATAATTCTACCCAGTTGACAAGTTTTAATGCATAAGAATGCATTAAAATCTATTCAACACAGTTTAGGGTGGGTGTGAGTGTGGGTGTGGGTGTGGTTAGTAGATGACTTTAAGAAAAGTCAATCAAATAGCTAGCAAGACCGGTTTCGACAAGTGCTGAAGAAGTACTTATCAATTGCTTTTTGATAATAAATTCTCCTACTGCAATTGAAACAGTCAGAAGTTAGAAAAACTTCCAAGGATAGTTAACAATTACAATAAAATATATATTATTGGATAAATGTAAAAAAAAATCCAATAATTTCAAAGAGATTCTCCCATAGTTGGGTGTGTTTAGTAGATGACTTTAAGAAAAGCGAAAATTAATTTAAAACAGATCAATTTGTATATCTAAGAAGCAAATCAATCTGCTATTCTCAACTTTTGCTTTTCAGCAATCGATTATCTTCTGGAAATAATATTTCAAATATAAGTGATGTGCTTAGATAAAAATAATCAAATAAATGCAGAATTTAGCTTCGCCGACGCGTTTCGTGTTATTTATTTAAAAATAGGAACACTCATCAGGGCTCTGCACAAAAAAGGTTAGTAAGCACACAAAAAGGAAAAAATAAGAAACATAATAGCTGGGTTAAAAAATGAATGAATAAATGAAAAATCAAAATGAGAAAAAGGAAAAAGAAAAACAGAAAACAGGGGCAATGTTTCAGCATATATACAAATTGTCCTTATTGTTCATGCAATTTCAATTGATGACAAATGGTTATGTTTTTATCAATTTTAGCAAGTAGTGAAAATAATTCTATTCAAAATTTGTAGGCAGTAGCATGAATTATCTAACATGAGATGTCTTCTCGTATATAATAATAATAATATTATCCATATGTAATAATATAAAGAGAATTTAATGATAATACGTAAATAACAAAATATAAACCATACAATAGAATAGCGTTTATTATATTGAATTGTTTATTATATAACTCGATATTATATATAAATTGTATGAAATCATAGAAGTTTGATATACGTAGTATACTCTTTAAAAATTTGTATTATATATAGTTAATTATAATTAATGAGTATTAATTAATCGACGTTGTAAATTAGGAACATTACGAGTACCCAGAATTGGAGTTATATCATTGATTGGTGATTCGCCAAAATATTTATTCCAGAGTGCATGGAATTTCTGAGGAAATGCTTTCATATTTGAGCAGTACGTGAAATGAACAAACATTTTAGTAGTGTAATCTATTGGTACTTTTTCTTTAAATGGAATATTTATAACTTTTTGGCGTATAGAATAATAATTATTTATAGTAAATATTTCATTTATATTAAATTTTTGTAAAACAGCATTAAATTGTTGATCGATGAAATGTCCAGGATATTTATTTAATAAAAGTGCCATTCTTAATTTACTACGTTCTTTTAAATAAGCTTGCAATGTTGAACAATATCTTATTGCACGAAGTAACATAGTAAATATTATATTTTTCTTCATATGTAAGGGATGAATACTGTTGAATGGCAAATAATATGGCTCATATGATGGCTTATGATAAACTGAAGTAAATAATTTGCCATCTTGGTTTTCCA